GAGGACGCAAAGAACATCGAGAAAAACTTCAAGGTATTGAGAAAATGACGGGGAAAGTTCGAGTGTTTACTCTATGAAATGTTATTTATTAAAGATCTTAAACCTAGTTTAAACAAACAATCGGACTCGAGACGCTCAAAACTATTTACTCAAGATTCTATATTAGCATAATTGTGCGTCTAGTGTTGTTTTATTGTTTGTTTAATTGTTTACTATTCGATTTGCTTGTTTAATTATTCTAATTATATTAATTAAGTGTCTTAGAGTGCTTAATATTGCAACTGTCATGTTTGCTTGCGCAATTATTTGTAAACGCTATTTACATTTATTTAATTTAATCGTTTTCTGTAATAATTTGAACTTGTAAATGAGGTCAAAAAGACTTCGAAACGTCGTTTTTTAATAAATTTATTATTGCTATCATATTTGTCTAAATTCATGGATTAAATTTGGAAAATGGAAACAAATTAAAGATGCTGCATGATAAATTGAACAACAAACATTTAATAAACTAGAAAATTAAAATATTAATACAAATCCCTCGCCGGATGATAAGTAACTTTTTAACCGATCAGCTGTAGTACATGTAACTATTATTCGGTTCAATTATGGTAATTATTTGAGAAAAGCTCAAACTTTTGATCCTCGTGACTTTGACTGAAGACCTTCGGTGGCACAGTCGTCAGATTTAGCCGCTTTCGCCTCTGATATCGTTGGTTCGATCCTCGCTACGGACTTATCGGTTTCCAACGATAAACATAGTTAGAAAAGTAATACTACAATTGTTGTAAACTGACATAAATAGTCTATACTGAGTAGATAATATAAGTAAGGCAGCGCAAAACGTTATGTTTTCGAACACTGAATGTAATGTACTGTAATAACAACGGCCATCAACCATATGAGATATATGTATATCAGTGTCAGGCATGCAGCCAAAGTAACCAGGCAACTGAGAACTCCAACAACTTGTGTGGGTGCCCAAACATGTTAGGAAACTGCAAATTTAGGAAGACATATTTAATTGAGCTGGCCCTCTTAAGTACCCAGTCCAGAGGTTATGGTTACTTTCCATGCCCCCATCTTTTCCCAACTTTTCACTCCCCCCACTTCTTGCGCCTCTTCTCCTTGTACTGCAAAGCAAACTTGTTTTTCGAGCCTTATTCTTGCAGCCTATTAACTGATGCTATAATCACAGCCATGGCTCATGTTTATCAAGGTCCCAGCTAGTTAATAGGGGGCTTAAGCAAGCGACGTTTTTGTCAACACAGACATCAGATTGCTGAGGGGGTGGACTGGATTAAACACCGCGTTTGTGTTAGTTTGTGGTAATCTTCAACACAAAATGCCGCCAAAAGTAGTTATACCAATTTTCGTGTGACGTCCGTGTTGACGAAAATGTCGCTTGTTTAAGCTCACTATTGTCTTGGTTGCCCCATACCATCAATCCTGACCTTTAAACCTCGATTTCTGTAAGTGATACAGGTGCGGCACAAAATTGTAATTGATTCAGACGTTTTGGGACATTTTTTTCTTTAGGCCCTTAGTAATTTAAATGAATTGAAGGAAGAGCCACTGATGGTAAACATTAACAAAAGAAAACGACGGCGAAAGAGAAAATGTGGTGAAATGGATACAAAACCTTCAAAGGTTTCATCAGTTGGTAAGAGAATTAATGAGATTGACAAAGAGCTGTCAAAATATCGAGGAAACGGAGAGTGGATTGCCCACAACGATGCAATAGAAAGGTTATTCACTGTGTATAAACGAGATGAAGACAATTCGGATATTATCTCACTTCTAAAGTATGAGAAAGCTGCAGCTTTATGCGAGAAAAATGAGATTGAAACGTCTATGAAGTTGATTACTGAATTAGGTAAGGAAATAAATGTAACTGAAAAACCCAATTGGGATCTTGCTAATGATATTCAAAAGATTCTTTTCTGTAAATGTCTGTTTTTGGCTTCCAAGTTATATTGTATCAAACGAACTTTTGGTAAAGCTCAGAAATCTCTAGCTGTTGCTAGTCGCTTACTATCTGACTACAATAACGTTGAACTTAAAGCTCAACTCCACCTCTCGAATGCATATCACCAATTATGTCTGAACCAAAGTCATTGTACACTGGAGCTTGCTAATCATGTGATTGGATATACTGATAAAGCTGAACAGATATGTACCACACTTAAGGATCAAATTCAAGAAACATGGGAGAAAATAAGAAGAAAAATACTACTTATAAGATCCAAGGCTGTCATACAGTTTTATCTTGATAGTGGAGACAACGAGGAGTTTGCTACTGTGTTAAGTAGCTCACTGGAAGAGTTAGAAAGTCAATTGTGGCATGGTCTTTCTCTTAGACAAAAGGTTTGTTGCATAAAGCATGCTTACTTTTAATACCATCTACCGATGGACCGTGCTATAGTATGTGTAAACGTTAAGGTTGGTCAAGAGCAATCTAACAGAGGATTTAATCGTATCTGCAAACTACAGGTGCCCACGTTTATCTACAGTAGCCTTGCGCTCAGCTGAGGGAATGTTCTACATCAAAATATGTTTCTTGTGAGAGTACGCAATGCCTTTGGACTGTTTATCATAAGCGAGATCAGGCGTCGGTACAATTCAATTAATCTGTCTTCTTTTAAATTATTTCGTTTAATTATCAGTCATTTTTCTTATACACGCGGGCAATCCTCATACGCCATGACTTCGGGTTGCATACAATGACAAATAGCAGGCTCACAAAATGAAATCTCTCAAAATTGATAACTTGAATTTGAACATGGAAATAAAATGATATTTAATAATTATTCATATAGCTACTTGAAAATGCGGTTATGTAAAAGTTGTGTGAAATACCCATGATAAAAAATGAATAGATTTTGATATATATCATAATATGTATCATATTTATCATCATATTCGGCATTATAACACAAGGGAAAATATTAACGTCATGTTCTACTGGTTCTTACAGGTCGGCTTCCACATGTTGAAAAGCAATTATTTCCAAATACATGGAAACGTGGCTAAGGCTTTAGACCATGCTCAGGTCGCCCTCCAAATTGCACAGGAATGTAAGTTTAATAAGGAGGTATTACTGATGAATGAACATATTCGCAAGCTCAAAGTTTTTCCTGAAGATCCAGTGAATGACAGCGAAAGCCTGGTGAAGAAAGTGCTCTCAATACAGACCACGACGGATGGAAACGCTGAATCTAATGCAGCTGAGATGACAGATCGTGGAATATTTAGCACTGACGATTCTGAATGGGAAAGCTTTGAAAGCTTATTGAGGCAGGTCAGTCAGGTCCGGATTAACCTTTCCCGGGGCATTTTTTCAGCGTGTGGCCCCTACAACCCCCCCCCCCCCCCCCGGCTGGCCCGAATTCAGAATTCCCGAATTCAGAATTCCCGAATTCAGAAGTACCGTGCAATATTTTTTGGTACTTGACAAGTTTAATAAGCTAAAATATTAAGGTTTCTTTGCCTTAATTAAGTTTAGAAAATCCAAAAATTGGTGGACAAGCTGAAAACGATTAAGATTTTTATTCGACGCATCACTATATCTTGTAAATGCGTGCACCAACAAATGAATGCAAGAAACTTTGCACAAAAATGTTTAGCTCTTTTGGCAGTTTTCGCGTTATTCCAAAAGTTCTAACATAATTTTTTGTGCATTCATTGCAGTACAGAAATATACTCTCACAAATGGTGAACAATTTGATTGCTAGATTGTTGCATTTGTTGCTAAATTATTCTTATTTCGAATTTGTCTTATATCACCACAACAGATTACAGACGACGAAGAAGAAAGTGATATACTGTACTTTAAATGAGATATAAAATTCAACCAACCCAAAATCAACTGCCACTGACAAGATCCATCCACTAGGTAAGTATTTTTCCTGCGAAATATTTGAATCTCGGTTTTATATATACTATCTGGCGTCGGTTGTACGAAAGCTGGATAGCGCTATTCACCGGATAGTATTTTTTTTCACGCTTCTGAAATTGTCCGTTGATTGTATAACCCAGACGCGCAAATACTAGTATTTATTAATCTCGAACTGATTAATAATTCATGAGTAAATTAGCCAACCATATTGCTTTATTTTGCTCGCATGATAAAACTGGATACCTGCAGGTGAAGTATATTGATCCAGTCCTAGGACTGGATCACAATTAATTCAGTCCTTGGACTGGATTAAAATTAATAATCACCTCACTTTAATTAAGTAGTGATTTATTCGTGTTTGTGCGATGTGGAATGCAATTCAGACTGGACTGGATTTCTTATCTCATACCTAGCGTATTAGCGGCTTTCCAATTGGCAAAGAGGAGGTGCGTTCAATCTAGATCTCGAACCCACCTGCTGACGTGTGTTTATAGGATGTGGGTTCGAGATCGATGTTTCGGCGGCGGCCATTATGAAGCGATTTGAACAAATTTCAGACGAAAATTTAAGTAAAAAATAAATTAACAGTTTTTAATTGTTTTATAATTTTATTTTTTTTTTGTTTGATGAAAATGGAATATTCTGATGGCCGCCGAAATTTGTTCGGCACGGGCAGATTTATATAAATCTTGGCAATGTTTTCGCAGAATATGTGCATTTTCTCTTTTCAAGAATAAGGGAATATTGTAGAGAACTTTTTTAACTTCAATTTAAGCCTATAAGTTTGTTTGTTTGCGTAGTATGTTGGCGGCTAAAATGTTCGTTATCCAAACAAGAAATTATATACTAAAATGGGTAAATTCTTCTTTAATTCGCTCTGTCAGTACTTTTTAGTACTTTACCGAAGTGGCATGTGATAAAAACCAAACATACTTGCAGGTTCGGTGAGTCCGGGATTGGACGCACCCTCGGGGGTGTTTGTTATAAAGTCCTCGCATTTTGTTCCCACCCCCCGCTTCGCCTCAGATTTGATCAAATTGCGGGCACTTGAAATCCAGTCCAGTCCTCATAGTCTGATGTGAAATATTACATCTAGTTTTCTTTCTATTAAATTGTGAGGTTCATATCCACAGTTTTAAAGCGTTTCAAGTAATTTTACCACGGTTGAAAGTATTACTATCTGGAGGATAGAGCTATCCCGCCTTCATACAACAAGCCTCTGTTGAATAATTATTATATGTATATATGTACATTTTAGATATAATAGTATAGTGTAAAGTCTATATTATTAAACAATAGTTAAATTAATAATGTAGTAGTGACTCTTATATGCACTTTAAATTTTTGTCCATAATCTCTATTAAACGAATCATTCTATAAGGCTCTGTTAGAGAGACGGAGTAATTGTAAGGTATATTTGCATTCTGCATAATTATGTGAAAAGAAGTTGCATTTGTGGACTTTCCCCTGAGATATGACACAACGGAGCAACATTTGCTAGCGATCACTGGCAGTGAGGGTTTGGGATCACTTTGAGCGAAGTTCTCGTGCGTCAAGTTCTTGAGACAAGAGATATGATGTATGGTGATTTGACTTGTTCTGATTGGTCAATATTAATTTTTTTCCCAGGGAAATGTCGCATGAGCTGCTTACATCATGGGACGAGGACACAATTTTGTCCATGCGATCGCATGAAATCAAGTCCATGGGAACAGCTGCAGCGACTTGTTACCTTTAACCTGATTAGACTATTTTTATATTAGAGTGATATTTATGTATATAATTAAATTATGTGACGCCCCTCATGAAAAACATCTTCGGATGATGAGGGAAGCGTGGATAAATAATGTTTTATTCTATTCTATTCTATTCTATTCTGTTCTAAAGCCCCGTTAACACTAGTGATTTTCTCTTCCCGACGAGCGCGATTAAGCCACATAAAATAAATTCCTTGATTCTCATCACCGCCCGACTGTATTTTAAGAGCCGCGTGAAATTGTTTTATATTTTGTTATACAATATAAATGAACCGCCCGACAAAATATTTCAAGACAGTTAAGTTTTTTATATTTAAAATTGGGTTTTTAGTGCCATTTTAAACTGCCAATTTCAAACAAATAGAACCTTGAAAGAAATTTCATTGCATTTTAACGGAACTTCGCATTCAGTTGAAGGGTTCAGTCATTGTTCGTGGAGAAATATGTTCATTTTGGTTTGTGACACTTCACTTTGGAAATCACAGAAATATTAAATGTTAGGAATTATCAGTTTTTATTTATTGATGATAAATTATATAAATATAAAATATAAACCTCCCGGCTCTTTCAAAGTCTAGCGATGAGAATCAAGGAATTTATTTTATGTGGCCTTAAGTGCATGAATTGCCTTTAAACCTGCCGCACACGAGAGAAACTTGCTGAGCTAACCGCCTCGCGTGGCTAACTCACATATGTATTTTCACCGCACACGTTTGGAAAACTCGACTAAGAGCAACATCGTTGATAAGATCGTTTACATGCATTTCCTTCTATTGTCGCCATTTTGACCAAAATCTCTTGAAGACACTATGGGTCTCATTGACTAGTTTATTCAAACAGCTTAGCACTAAGCTCGCAACATCCACAGACGTTGAGGTTTTTTCCCCGCGAAGTGAAAAAACCAAACACGATAGATATTATATTTTCCTCAAAGCCTCGAGAGGTTAAGTCCTCACAAAAACATGCTGAGCTGGCCGCTACGCGAGGCAGTTACCTCAGATATACCAAGTTTAATTCTTTCGTGTATACAAGTAGTATAACGTAGCCAGCCCGATGATTTACCCCCGCTATGCAAATATTTTCGTGTTCATTGACTGTGAAAACAATCAATTTCTAAAGAAATGAATAATGATAATATTTTTGAATTTGCATAACAGGACTAAATTGTTGGACTGGCTACGCTACGGTGTACAGCAGGCATGAGCATTGCCTTTCCGAAGTACACGTCGCCATTCCAACACATCGATCCCCCAAGATGATAAAAATCGCCGTCAAAACTGGTAATGTGTTTGAACTAGCCTTATTGCAACTGATCACGAGGACAAAATTAAAATTGACCAATCAGAGAATGTCATCATTTCCTTAATTGTAGGGGTAGCGACTTAACACCTGGGAATAGATACAATCTGTTGACTTGTACATGGCTAACATTTCCTGGTTAACCTAGAAATAACACTATTTAGGTTAATTTAATATTTCTGGATATATTTCTCCCACTTCCTATGATCGTAATCTGATTAATTTAACCATAGGATTTCTGGTCAAATTAGCTACAGTAAAGTAGAAAAAGTAACAAGGCAATTTACCATTAATATTAATTAAGTTAACCCAAATAGAGTTATTTCTAGATTAATCAGGAATATTTTAACCAGAGTGGTTTTAGAGTGCAATTGCTTTTCAATACACGGTTTTGATCGTTAGTAGTAACTACCTTTTTATACCACTGCCCCCTGCATGAAGATCAATCAGAAGCGTAGTGTGAGAGAGTTTAACTATTCTGCGGGTTGCGGGCTGCGGGCCGAAAATGCGGGCTGCGGGCCGAAAAATGCGGGCTGCGGGTCGAAAAATGCGGGCTGCGGGTCGAAAAATGCGGGCTGCGGGCAGAAAAATGCGGGCTGCGGGCAGAAAAATGCGGGCTGCGGGCAGAAAAATGCGGGCTGCGGGCAGAAAAATGCTAACACGATTGCGAGCCGCGGGTCTAGTTGCGGGCCTGACGAATTTTTAAAAAAATATTTTCAAAATGTAAAGAAAATAACAATATTATTCAAAATTTTCTGTCTTTGAAGTATATTCTATGTCAATGCTATTCGTAATCATATGCATATGAATTTTTCCTTAAATTCATTCTTTTTGTAATATCATGGAATCTCAGTTTATGAATCGTACCAGACATTAAAACCTGTTTCTACCGGGATAACAACCTCGTACCCAGGGCCTTTGCGCGGTTCAGAGGCTCTGGTACGGGAAGCAAAGGCCCTGGTAAACACTGGTCACGTGTGTCCAGAAATATTGGACATTTCGTAATAATTTAGTTTTGAATCCGAGGGGAGCGGAGCCGATTGATTTTGTCAAACATGGCAGCGCGAAGGCGCGACGTTTTCGAGTTTTATTATTTTACAATAAATAAAACTTTCCTAGTGAGATTTAAAGTGAGTATATATTAAAACTATGCATTCTACGAGCTTTCTTTCAACAAATTGTGGAATAGCGAACAGTAATACTTATCAAAGATCGAGGATCGAACTGAGAGAAAACTGGTCGAGTGATCTGTCTTATTAAATAAACTGTCTATGTTGTATCCATACAACTGCTTGTGTACGACGTTTTATAAAAAATTAAATAAACATTGTTGTTTAATAATGATTATAAGTAATTTTCACGTACATGTATTGACCAAAGAATATCACTTGGGATTTTATTGTACTTTCATGGAAGGATACATACTCAGTTTTGTGCCTGTATAGTGAAAGGGACATCTATGGAAACGAATTCGAAATTTTTCATGTTCACTCATGTAGTTATCAAAGCAGAATATTTTGACAGTAACAGGTTGGTTTCCGTATGTATGTAGTTTAAAATACAGTTGTGAATGAAATTATACACAGTATCTTGAAACCTTTGTGTGTGAGTTAATTTCATATTTATTTTTTGGGATGTTTCTCATTGTCTGGAAGAAGGGGGTATAAATGGCTGGGGGAGTACCAATCATGAGAAATAATATCCAGTGATCTTGAAATATGAAAAATAATAGAAGGAAGTCCTGAAGGACATGTATAAAGTAACAAAATTATTAGGAATCTGACATATAAATGTAAGCAAAAACCAGACTTAGCAGTCTAAAGGCAAATAACAGTCTGTACTGGGTGTGCATTCACCTGTTTGTTTACATTTGTAGTTACTAATATTAGTTCATGATTTATGAAATTTGATAACTTTAGTCATGGCAACAAGTCATTAATAATTTTAGGGTTTACTAAATATTGTTCTGAAATACTTCATTTGTCAGTTGTGTCTTATACTGTAGTATATAATAAATACCTTAGAAAAAAGGTGTAATTGTACCCTGTCTAATAGCTTTGGTTCAATACAATTGGCAACATCAGCAACTGGGCTGTCTTAGAATTCATGAAACACCTTTGCTACAACCCCAAGAAAACATGCCTTGTATCAGGCGATTAAATTCTCTGCTTCAACCAGATTAACCACACAAATGTTATTGTTGCCATTGTGACTGCTACCCTTTTTTACAAATAATACACTGATAGTTGTGCACCTAGATTGACATATCATACTGTGTTTTCAAATATCTTTGGCTCATAATTTCCATAATGATGGTCAATTATTCCACTTGATGAGAATACTATAATTACTTCTTTTCCATGGAGATAGGGCTTAACAGAGAGACACAGAGGCTTAATAAATATGGTTACACTGAATTTTATCAGTAAGTAAATTTCATTTTGTACATCCCGAAACAAAAGATCACCATATTATGCATGAATTATATGTCACTTTCACTTGTCACAGAGTGAACATACCAAATTCAAACAAACATTCACTGGCTGTTTCTAGATGAAATAACATATTTTTTGTGCAAACAATATAATTCATGAGGGGGAAAAATGAATACATATGTGTGCACATAGTTTCAACCAACTTTCCCAGTTATGATTGGAGCTGATGAGTACATGACCTTAGTTTTGAACACAAAATGGCATGGGACTTCATCTTCACTAGACTTCATCTAGGTGGCAATATATTGGCATTCACCCAGACCATGGCAATATCACACAATATACCAGAATGCACCCATGCAAGTTCTGCCTTCTCGCCAGCACAATTGATCATGTCATACACATTCATTACTGCCAATCTCTATATTATTTATGTCTCATTACAATTGGTATGTACAATATATTTCCATTATCAGCAGTTTCATTACAAGTTGTGCATCACCAGTATCATCACAACTTGTATTTCACTAGCATCATCATCATTCTCACCATTCTACTTTTATTTATAGTCAATCACAATGAATCAAAAATTTCCTATCACACCACTCATATTACTTAATAATTGCCCGAGGTTAAGGCCATTTCACAGCACTCCAGGATCTGAATACCTGCAACCACCTTTTCGATCTAATACTAAAACAGAAACAAATGACCAATGTCTTACTGGAATATCATCGCCATAAAATGACTGTCATTTGAAACCACATTCCGTTGTATTAGTAACAGCACAACTGCTCCGCAACTAAGGTAAATAATAGGGATGTAGTAAGTTAATACTGGTTACTGGTAATTGTCTGTTTACATTTTGCTCACAACCAAAGTCCAATTGGGTCGTTCCAGAAAAGATCCATACTCCCCCATGGAGGAAATTTCTGCCGTCCGGAGGGGGAGGGGAGAAAAAATTGTTTCTGATAATAGTAAGTGTACTAGAAAATACATGCATGCAGAAACCCTCGCCTTGCTGACAAAACCATTGTATTTTCCGAACATGAAGTTCTAAAGTAGTTGTCATGGTAACACGATAATTCTTTAAGAATATTCTTACAAATGAAAAATCGCCTAAAAATATCACTTTTAATTACAAAATTATTAATTTCCCGACATATATATGTTAGGTATGTTATTATACGTAATATCAGCCTCAATATAAGGTAAAATTCAACCACAAACGCTTCGCAAAACGTTTTAAAGTGCTGTTTAACTAAACTGCCTTTAATTAAATGGCTTTATCGATAAACTTTGAGTTTGCAATAAAATGATTTCAAATTCTCGCTTGCAAATAACTTTGCTTTCTTTTTTATTTATTTAAAAAATTCAATATAATAAAAAAGTGAATCAATATTAAAGATACACTGAGCGAAATTATATTCTGTCTTGTTCAGTTTCATATACGCAAACGCCGTCGGGTTTTAAAGCCATTATAAAATCAATATTTAAAACAAACTTACCTTCGTTAACGTCGGCTCCCTTCTTTTAGCCGATTCTTTCGAAGTTTCTTTCGGAGAGAGCTTTTGAAATTTACAAAATATTGCAAAAATGCGAGCAAAAATGAAATATATTCGCAAGAAATTTATCAATCATGAATCATCATCAAATAGTCAAATCAAGAAATAAACGCTATTTCGCTGTCGTCATCGTTTAAATAGAACCAATCAGTGTCCGCTATTCATGACAGTCCGCCATATTTTTGAGGTCAGTGAGGATGACCACCCACCCAACACCGTTGGTGACCCATGCCCGCGATATTTGATGAACTTTAGACTCCGCTAATGCTTTCGTTTCCCCGGGTGTAAATAGCCGGGGGGAATTAGTACCCTCGCACGGCGCCCTCGGCTCGGGAATAGCGAGTTTACGAAACTACACATTTTGGCGACGCCGCCGTGAGTTGTCCATAACACGCATGCGTCGCAGCATTCTGGCTGCTTCCTTTGACGGCGACGCCACGAAACGGCACGTTAAGAACGCGTCCTGGATTTTTCAAGATGGCGGAGATTGAACAGAAGACATCAAGGTAAGAATTTCGCAGTTTTAGTTGTTTAAAGCTGTTTTGTTTTCCATACGATTAACTTAATAAGATTATAGGATTAAATTCAAATCTTTTAGTAAGTTTATGCTGACAAAGAGCGAGAATACCGATAATTTATATACGAACTACTTGATTTTCAAAGTAAATGAAATATTAGCTCAGTTGTAATATATTTATAAACATTTTATAACCGTTATGGCCGTTTCGAGCGATATGAAACTAATTAAAATGGTAATTTGAGTTAATAGTTGGCTAAAAGTGTTTCGTAATAGTGTGATGTATAAATCAGTAGGAATGGGAATCATGCATTTTGATTTTAAAAGTATAGTTTGGAAAGTTTAAATTAAATCATTAAATCATAGCCTGAATAGAAGCCTGCAAAAAGAGAAAGACACGTTTCCTTTTGACCACCTGGTATAGGAAAAACATTAACAGGGGTCCTATTAACATGAGGCTGATGATAGGATGCATACTGATTACTGTTCTTCAAGTTAGAGGCTCCTATTAAAGTTATAGGCTCTTGTTTAACTTAGAGCCACTTCTTAGTGCTTCTTCAAGTTGGGGTCCTTCATGTTACACCGCCTTCCCCAGGTGGCATGGCCCCAATATCTTGTTATGTGTTTTGTGACTATTTTAGTCATTTGTAATACATATGTTCTCATATCCTTATTTTAACATTTTGTTCATTCATGATTTTAGCAAGAAAGCAATGACCTGGACGGACGAACATAATGAAGTACTAATTCGTGAAATGTTTTTATTTCAACCATGGAACTATAAAAAAGGATCGCAGCAACGGGGCCATGCTTGGGAGATGATCAGTGATTCACTAAATGATCTAAATACTCCAATGTTTGGTGTGACACAAAAATCTGTTCGAGACCACTATACTCTACTCCAGAAACAGCAGAAGAGGAGATTGAGGGAAGAGGAAAAAGCTTCCGGAATCTCTCCTGAGCCATCGGAAGTAGAAATCGCCATAGAGGAGATGATTGAATTGTTTAGGAGTAGGGATGATGATGATAAAGTATTGGAAGAGAAACAAAAAGAAAATTCTGTTGCAGAGGTAGGAAAGGCAGTAGAAATGAGGCAACTGTCAATGGAAACATTGGCTGAAAGAGAAAAAGAAAGTCTGAAAGTAAAGATGGTGAGAAATCTAAAAGAAGAGTGTCGACTACTGGTAGTGAAACAATTGCCTATTTGCAAAAGAAGTCGGATGTAGATGCCCAACTTAAGAGGGAGGAATTGAGGTTGAGACAAATTGAAGCTGAAGAAAGAAAGCAACAGCAAAATAGTGTTACTTCACAGCAGGAAGCTCTTACTAAAGCCTTGACTGACAGCATTGCTGCACAACAAAGGCAACAAGAACAACTCATGCATCAAATGCAACTTCAAAATACAGCTCTCCTGTCACTGATGCAGAGCATTACTAAGAAGGAGTAAACTATTTTTAATGTTGCATTATGTTTCTTATACTCCAGTTACATGTTCACTTGTTATTGTTATTTTAGATAAAACATTATTTGCAGGGCCTCTTTTAATACCATAGACTGGAGGGAGATTTTTCTCCCTAGCCCTGTTTTGGTCCTTCAGTGAACTATGTTGCCCCCCCCCCCAGTTCACTGGAAGGACCAAAACAGGGCTTCAGGTCCTTTTTGTGTAAACGATAAGCAAAAAGGGGATGAATAATAACTTAGGTAAGAAGAATGTTTTAGTATTCCCATGGCCAAATCTTTGTCTAGTGGATGAAATATATAAAAAATGTTTCTAAAAATGCTGAATATCTAGTCCCAGACACTTAAAATACAAGCATTTTCTTGGAGAGGGCCCCCAGACACCGTTTTCTTGTTCACCACCTAGTTGGACCCATTGTTCTTGATGGCCCCTCCTCTGACAAATCCTTAAAAGAGGCCCTGTGATGTTCATATTCTGAACAGGAATATGATGTTTAATAAACATTAGGGTTAACTCTCCTGTAGATGTATTGTTGAAACATAAACTTATGCAAGTTAAACACTTAACATTTAACATAGTGTGGCTAATTTTCACACAAAGTATTCATTTATGGATGGAGGTTCTAGTTCAAAAAACTGTGAGGTTATTTAGCCATAAAAACAACATCTGGCATTATGAAGTAAAGTGCAACAAATATAC